AACATATTTTCTTAATCCAACCAATGCTACTTCAGAAGCTTTTCAAAAGTGAGACACTTCAGGAATCTCTTGGCAAGATTTGTTCAGAGGAGGTTTGCCATTCCTGAGACTGAGAGGGTGTGACTTGTCCAGGGTCACCTACTGAGTTTCATGGCTGAGCAAAGATGCCTTGTAATATATTGAAATCTTGTTTTTGTTATTTCTAATTCTGAATGCTGCCAGTAAAGGTTGCTTATATGAACAAATTGGCAATGTTTAGAACTGCTGTTTTTATAGTCTTGTACAGGGGTTGGGGAAATGTAGACCCAAGACTCTTTTGCTAAGGATTCTCAAAATTTCTACACATTCTACCTCAAAATAACCAACAGTGCTGGTTGGAGCTGTTGGCCATTTCTCTGCATTTTTGAACATTTTAGTACCCCATTCACCATTTTTTTATTCCAAGACTTCAAGAGACTTTCTTCAGATTACTTTCTGTTTAGGAGAAAAATGGCTTGATATGGGAGGTTGCTAAAATGCTCAGAAATGGAATAAATACCCAATAATGATTGTGGAGACTTGTGGGGTGCTGCTGGACATTTTTAGTCGATTAGATGGTGAAAATAGATGTGTGTGCCCCTCCATGGTCCTGTGAGGTGGAGGACAATGGAGTCCTCCAACCCAGTAGATTCCCATGCCTGGTAAAGCATTTAACTAGGTAGTGCTGCACATTCTTCCCACAGGCTTAAATAGGCAATAGATCTGGGTTCTTGATTTCTTACATACAAAACTTTACAGAACAGCATTGCACTTGATGAAGCAGGAGGATCTTGGATGTGTTCAGTTTTTTGTTTTTCCCCTGGAATGCTCTAAACTTCTGTAATGGTAGCAGACCATCACACTGGGGCTATCTTTCTGTTTACTCTTTGACATTTCAACAATCTCTATTATTTATTTATTTATTTATTTATTTATTTATTTTCCGCATGCTTGATTACCATGAGTAGGTAAAGATCTGATGTATTTTCAGTCAGCAAAGAAATGTTGCATCATCTAATAAGTACACTAAATGCAGCTATTGCCTCTTTTGGTTCTATCTCTGATTCAAAAAAGTTTTTGTTAAATGCTGTGATTGAAGAAAGAATGAGAGAAACCAAGCCAAAGGAAAATACTTTTCCAGAATGGTGCAATGGTACAGGAAGAGACAGGGCTTATGACTAACGTGGCAAAGAAGGGAATACAGCAAAATACAAACACACTGCTTAAAATGCCAAACATCATAGCTGCTTTCTTCTCTTTTTGTTCTTGCCATGTTTCCTCATCTGCCTGAAAAGTGACAGTTGTGTGACGAACCGTAAGCACCATCTGTAGCTGAGAAGCTTCTTTCACCCTGACATACAAGCAGATAGAAATTTTTATAAAAGCTGTTTTGTTTCAAAAGAAATATAGCCTGACGCTCCCTTATCTAGAATTCCAAAATCTGAAATATTCCAAAAATATCCACATGGATGAATGAGATTGTGACACCTTTGCTTTCCGATAGTTCAGTGTACACAAACTTTGTTTCATGTTCAAAATTATGTAAAATGGTGTGTATAACAACATTACCTTCAGCCTATGTGCACAATGTGCATATGAAACATAAATGAATTTCATGTTTAGACTTGGGTCCCATCTATAAGATATCTCCTTATGTATACACAAATATTGCAAAATCTGAAACCCAAAACACTTCTGGTCCCAAGCATTTTGGATAAGGGAGACTCA